GTGACCCGGGAGGTGGGGGCAGGGAGCCAATGGCAAGAATGTGTGAGATTTGAACTGAAAGCAGTGATGTGCCTGCTGCTTTTGGAATGTGTAGTTAGACGTGATCAGGTTATTTTTTTTTATTTCTGGTTTGTAAGCAGTGATGTGCCTGCTGCAGTTCTTTCTGTGGCTTGGGGGGAGAAAATCAGGGGAAAGATGGAATGAATCTTGGAAGCCGGACATGGAATGTCCAGAAGCAGTATTCATGTCTACAAAGGGCAGAATGTGGGTACAAGATTGTGCGTAGATAGGGACTGTGTAGTTAGACGTGATCGGGTTATCTTTTTTTATTTCTGGTTTGTGCACATCCCTCCCCGTTACCGTTCCCCCCTCTCCCCCTTTGGTATCATGTAACTGAAGCTGAATTCCAGGAAAGCAATTTTCTGTGTTTTAACCTGTTTTCTTAGTTGCTCTAAGTTTACATCACTTCTATGATGCACAGTGTCATGTCAACAATAAAGTAAGTCATATTGAATTGCAGGAGTTGTAGTCTACTCATGACCCCAGTCCACGAAGTCTTGTGTGGATACAGAATTGGTATCCACATTTGCAAAAATGGCCCATCAATATCCGCATCTGTGGAGGTGGGAACCTGTGGCTATATTGTGAATATCCACAAATTTGCATGTTTCTAGATATGAAATTGGTATCCATATCTGCATCCGCAACTGCAAAAATGAGCCATGGATATCCAGGAGCAGCCCGAGGCCAGCTGCGGCAGCTAGCGCCCCAGGCAGAAGGCACGATCAGCGCCCCTGCCTTCACAGTCATCAATGGCCATGACGTCATCATGAGGCGCCCCGAGCCGGCGGCGCCCTAGGTGACTGCCAAGTCTGCCTATGCTCACAGGCCGCCCCTGAGTGTACCACCCAAGGTCAGGGAATCTGTGACCTTGGGGAGTTTTTAAGCAGAAGCCTATAGAAGAAAGATATTTTTAAAGTCTTCTGTGGGCCTCCAGCCTCTGCTCTCCAAGTGCCAGAATGGGGAACAGCCTTGACACCTTAGTAGCATACTCCAGGAATTGCCCCATTGATTTACTCACGGTGAGTAAGAAAGGCAGAATCTGGTCCTCAATGTTTCTGCCAGTGGGAAGTGTACTTGAGCAATTTCAGCCACCAGTAAACAAGATGGGAACAAGTAGGTACCAGCACTGAGGAAACCTTTACATCATGAATGGATGTAAAAGACTATAACAGAGTTTAAAGAGAAGCTAGATAATTTCATGGAGGTTAGGTCCATAAAAGGCTATTAGCCACGGGATAGAAATGGTGTCCCTGGCCTCTGTTTGTCAGAGACTGGAGAAGGATGGCAGGAGACAAATCGCTTGATCATTGTCTTCGGTCCATCCCTCTGGGGCACCTGGTACTGGCCACTGTGCTAGATGGACCTTTGGTCTGACCCAGTACGGCCGTTCTTATGTTCTTATTTACTTCAGTTTAGCCCCATGTCATTGGGCTGCAATTACTGAGTGAAACTCTCTGGCCTACGGTCAGGCTAGCTGGTCACAGTGGTCCTTTTCTAGCCTAAAAACTCATTCAGTGTATACAGAGGGAAAACAGGATACTCATCTGGTCTCTCACAATCTCATCTAAACTGAATCTCTAAGCCTTTTGCTGGTCACCCTTCACCACTCTCCTCCAGAAAAAGCCATAAGAAAAACGTCTAATCCAAAACAGAACTCTTAAGAGACGCACATTAAAGTACAGACTGAACCTCTCTAGTGTGACACTCTCTGATCCGGCAACATCTATACTCCGGCATGATATTAGTTAGACAGATGTCCACTTATCATGGGTGTGGCCAAGTTTCCCATGGACCCATAACGTTTTTTTTTACAGCCACCAGTTCTGGCTCTCAGGCTACGTCTACACTGGCATCCCTTCCAGAAAAGGGATGCTAATGTAGCACGTTGGAATAGGCAAATCCGCGGGGGATTTAAATATCCCCCGCAGCATTTGCATTAACATGGCTGCCGCTTTTTTCCGGCTTGGGGGAAAGCCGGAGAAAAGCGCCAGTCTAGACGTTATTCTCCGGAAAATAAAGCCTTTTCCCCCGCGGATTTGCCTATTCCAACGTGCTACATTAGCATCCCTTTTCCGGAAGGGATGCCAGTGTAGACACAGCCTCAGTGTTCTGCACTGCTATGTAGCTTTAATTTACCCCTACATATCTTTGAAGAGCCCATCAAGCAGTGGAAGTATTGGTAATGCTGCTAGACAATACTGACCTCCGGTGGTTCAGCAAATTCTCTGGTTCGGCACCGGTCAGGTCCTGAGAGAGGTTCAACCTGTCTCAGGTATTTTTTTTTAACAAGTCAATGGGTTATGAAAAGAAATGTTCAGAAAATTCCACCACAGGCTTGTGAAGGCAGCATTAATCTTGTGTTAAATTACCTTCTCGGAGGGCATCCTCTTACCAATAATAGACCATGCAACCCTGGAGCACAGATCTCATGGCGAGTCTAGCCTAGTCCCGCACTTCTGTCTGCATTAGTGTGAAGCTTCCCGGTTTAATTCAATGGGGCATTCAACTCAGCTGTTGAGCTGATGGGCATTTGATTGGTCATGCTCGGCTACCCCACCCATGTCTTGATTATCGGTATCAAAAGGGTTGCAAACGGAGCCAAAAGCCAGGTTGTTGTTTAACTCTTGAACCCGTTGTAATCGAGCCGGATCTTCTTGCTGGGGTTCTAATTCGCTGGCTGAGTCTCATGCCACACCCTTTTGGGACAGAGGTTTGGCAAATGTACTGATTTCCTTGGAGTCTATTGTGTCCTTTTTGCCCACAAGCACCTCTTTTCTTTTGCAGGTCCACCCCAGCCTGGAGGCGGGCCCCTCAAAAGGCAATAAGCACCTCTCATTTGAACGACTCCTCTGCCGTACAGTGACTCATTCATAGCGCTTCCTTCTGTCTATGGAGCCAAGAGCCAGACACCAGCCTCTGGGTATTATTTTCTTCCTTTGAATCAGACCTCCACTTGACGGATGGTAGAGGAATTCAATTGCATGTGTAGCCTTTAGGCAGGTTCTGATCAGAGTAAAGAAGGATGCCACTCATTTGGGGATCTGGGGTTTATTTATTTATCTCTGTAGGTTTAGGGTCCGTCATGAATGTTAACCAAGTGTGAAGCGTTGAGACTAGGCATTGTCTAGTAGTGGAAGAGACACAGCCAGTCACTTTAAGGTCTCTTTAGCCCACTTTGCTGCCTCACAGCTTGTGTGCCATTATTTATTGATGCAAAAATAAAGGTTAATGTTGAATTACTGAATAAAACACAACAAAATAAAGGTGTTTGCAAGCATTAAAAAAACCAGGCAGGCCTTTCTCTTCTGTTCCCCTTGCTTTGGGAGATCACAGAAGCACTTTAGAAGGGATGATAAATTATGAGTCAGCTATAATAGCTTACAATAGCCATTAATTTGCCCTGAGGTTGTGTACAGGGTGAGGAAAGAGAATCAGGTCTGTCTGGTGCACATGAAACCTATATGAATTCTCCCACATCCTTTTAACAACTTCTGATAGTTGGCACTCACACCTTTCCTTTCCTCCACAGAGCTCGGGTCATTTCTCCATCAAAGATTAAAACTCAAAGCATGACAGATGCTCAAAGCTATTCAAGCACCCACCTCCTATCAACTCCATCCAAAAAAGCACTTAAGCCCGAGATGAACTTCAAATGCTTGGTTGAGCAGGATGGACTTGAGCACTTGTCTAACCAGTTCTCTGAACTGGGATCATCGTGAGGCAGGGCAGTATCATTCGCCCAGTTTTACATACTGGAGTTGACTCACCTGACCCAAGGGCTCAGAGAGACTCAGTGACTTGATCAATACCCACAGTGTCAACCCGGAAACTGAAGGCAGGAATCTGGAATCCCAATCATGTGATCTAAGGCCCAGATTTTACATACAAACCTACTCAGCACCAAACAGCCAACACTGGGGCACCTTTTCCAGAGCACTCAGAAGATCCTTTGGAAAACAACAGGAGCTGAAGGGCACTGAGTATACTTTGGAAAACACAAACGCTTTCCTTCAGGGGCCTAACATGGGAGTTGAATGTTAAAAAAAATGCCTCTCAACTCACAGTCTAGTCACGCATCGCAGGGCAACACTTCACACGCAGAAGTTCCGACCCTGCACATGTCACACCGGCCCCTGCTGTCTGGTGTTGCAGGTCATAAACAGCACAGCAACCCAGCGTGGCACAGTTCCCAGCATTCCATGTGTAACGCTGATGGATCCGGCTCATCGGCAGATGGAATGCCATACTTCCCTCAGCTGAGAAAACACATCCCGAGCATAAGAGACCTCTCAGCCATTCATCCCAGAGGAGCCCTTACTTGTAATGCCGAGGTAGCCAGGTTGTCAGCAGATCCTGGGACCTCGGAGGCTAACGCCATGTGCCTGTACAGAAAGAGCTAAAAGCCAATTGGCTCTCAGCTAAGGCTGGAGAGCAGACTTGACTCTCTCTTATCAGTGTTTTCATGCTTCCGGGTTACACATGTCAAACGTTCTGTGTCAGACAATGTGTCCCCTCAGCCGGCTGCCTTCTCAACCAGTGTCAATTTACACATCCTGTAACAATTCTACCTAGGTAAGTATTTGTGGTACATTAACAGTCACTTGGATAAGTCCGCAGTGCCTTGGAAATGCCATGCAGAGAGGGGATAGGAATGGAGTTTGCAGCATTATATTCGTGACATAGGATGCTGGAATAAAGATAGCTATGGTTATGTTGGCAGTTTTGCCCAAACACAAGGGAGAAATCAGAGTCCAAAACTTTAAACACATAGGGAAAAGCACAGTTCCAAATATACTCAGATGTCCTTACCATACCAGGAAACCAGGTGATAAAGTGGCCGGTACAAACATCTGGAAAGACTCCATTCAGAAGTATTCTGACCACCTGCCAACCTTGGAGCACAATCAGATCTGGAGAAGCCCAATCTCGACTAAAGCAAGCAAGAACAGCAGGAGTATGTGCACTTAAAGTAATAATTTATGTATTATACACATAATTAGGCTTCCCACTGGATGTAAATATGATTAGCTGACTGCAGAAAGCTGAGTTCACATCAGTCCAGTAGGTTCCTTCTAGAAGGAGTAGATTTTACAATTACAATTTACAACATCGGCGCTAAAGGCAGAGAGCAATGGAACCTGGGGATAAAGATAGAAGAGGAAAGACTGGCACTGTCTGGATTTGATGATACTGTTTTTGAACCTTATGCTACTGGCATCATCCCTAGTGCAAATGACGATTCTCTGTGTCCCTTGAAGATGAGTTCTCCAGCTTCATTTTTGGTTTGGGGTAGCACGAGGGACACCACATTTTGGACTCTCCTCTGTCAAAGCAATTATGCCACATTGGGTTACCATTGGTATCGTGATCCTGAGATGGTGTCACACATTTTGGACCACGTTTTAATAAAAGAGGCCTAGATGACCTATGTTAGTTGTTAGTCCAACTGGTGACAAAGCGGGTAAAGGGTCATGACTTGTCACAATGGCTTGTTATATAAAATTGTTTAAGACGAGATATGGGGAGAAACAAAAAGACTCAGACTCACAGACTCGTAGACTTTAAGGTCAGAAGGGACCATTATGATCACAATGCAGGCCACAGAATCTCACCCACCCACTCCTAGAATAATCCTCTCACCTATATCTCAGATATTGAAGTCCTCAAATGGTTTGACCCCAAGATGCAGAGAATCCTCCAGCAAGTGATCCATGCCCCATGCTACAGAGGAAGGCGAAAAACCTCCAGGGCCTTACCGTATATAACCAGATATACTCGATCATAAGCCCGTTTGTGAATAAGCCGACCCCTCCAAGTTAAAAGAAAATTGTAAAACTATGAAATGACCCGTTCATAAGCCCACTCTATAGCAGCAGCTTGCAAACCTCCAATTCCAGCTCATCCGCATAAACCGCTGGCACGTCAGGATGTTTTGTTTACCTGAAGTGTCTGCAGGCATGGGGGCTTGCAGCTCCCAGTGTCTGTGATTCGCCGTTTCTGGCCAACGGGAGCGGTGAAAAGTGGCAGCCAGCACATCTCTTGGCCCGCGCCGCTTCCCACAGCTCCCATTGGCTGGAAACAGTGAACAATGGGAGTTGAAGGGCTCCGTGCCTGCAGACACCCTAGTTTATAAAACGTCCCGGTGCACCAGCAGCTTGCCCGTTGGGCTGGGAACTGAAGGTTGCTGACTCCGCCAAGTTAAAAACCCCTTGGGAAGCCACAACGATCTGTTCATAAGCCAACCCCTCCTCATTACTGCGTCACTTTTTACCCCCAAAAATCAAGTATATACGGTCATTAATTTTAGCAGAAAGCATTTGATGGTACTCGTCTTGTTAAGATTATGACCAGGAAACAAGAGGAATAAAGGATCAGAGAGCAAGGGAACCAACATGGATATGTTAGAAATTAGGCTAATTAACAGACAAAATAACAAGAGGATGGATTATTGCACCCATTGCTTTTTGGGGCCCTTAAAAAGAGGTTTTGAAAATCAAAGAAAAAGTTTACCTGCACTGTGAGTGCAAGAGAGGGATTCTTGCTATGACACCAGACCTTGATTCTCCACTTAACCATCCCAGGGACCCAACACAATAACTGAGAAACCCTGCTCAGTGTTCCTCTCTCTCGCTTGCTTCTTTCTGCTTCGCTGATTTTCCTCAGTTCTCTCTCAGCTCTCCACCTGGTCCTGAAATAAACTGTACGACCCAGCACCAGGCCCATCTAGCTTTGGCTAGCCTCAGAAGAACCAGTAAAGGAGAGCAACCCTGACCAGACCAACTAGACGATGTCTCTGGATCAGTGAGGTGAGCCAGGGACCAGAGCTGACTCAAATGCACAAAGGATCTATCTGGGACTAACCAGGCACCCTGTATCCCAAGCGATTCAGCAGAGCCTGAATTTCCCTCCTCTTTACTATCTTCTCTTCTCTGTCTGATTTGTCATTCCCAATTCAGAACTGAACACCAGAATCTAACCTTTGTGACATCACCCCAGGACCTACTGCATCAGGTATACCATTACAGGCTCATTCACGTGCACATCTACTAATGTAATATACTTCATCACGTGCCAACAATGCCCCTCTGCCATGCACAGTGAACAAACCAGACTCTATACAAAAGAATAAATGGACACACATCAGACATTAAGAACAGCAACATCCAAAAGCCAGCGGGGAAGCACTTCAATCTTCCTGGACATAGTTTCGGTTTTGCAAATTGCCATTCTCAGACAGAAAAACATCAAAAAGAGACTGGAAAGAGAAACTGCTGAGCTGGAACTCATATGCAAATTTGACACCCTGAACCAAGGTGGTTCTCACATTACAAAAGGGAATTTCCCATTCAGGTACTCTCACCTTCTCATCACTGTTGGAGATAAATCACATCCATTTTGATTTATTTAACACTGATGTCACACTGCCATTTCTTTCTTTCTTTCTTTCTTTCTTTCTTTCTTTCTTTCTTTCTTTCTTTCTTTCTCATCTGAGGAACTGAGCTGTAGCTCACAAAATCTTATGCTCTAATATCCTCATAAATTGTTAATCTTTAAAGTGCCACTGGACTCCTTGTTATTTTTGCTGAAACAGACTCACACGACTACCTCTGTGAAACCCATAACAACTTCTATTAGTCAATGAAACGGTTATAATATAATATTCACTGTATCCAAAAAGGGACTTTGATAGGTTTTGATTGCACTTGTTTTGCACAATCAATATCAGTCTCAATGTTCTTTATCTCGCTTTGACTCTTTTCCTTGAGTGTGTTTCAATCAATACTTTCCTAACCTTTGATATGACTTTTATCGTGCGTTCACCATGGTGCTCAGCATTTTAAGAACTCTGTATACCAGATCCCAAACCTTGCTTATGTGTGTTTAATGCTGGACTGTGGCAAGATTATGTTAACACCTGTAGCGCATACATTCCATCTGAATTAATATACCTACACTTAATCTTCCTACAAATTAGGATGTGAGACAGCAATGGAAAACAGATGAGCAGAGGAAATGGGGTTTGTATATATCTATATCTATCTATATCTGTTTGTTAGTCTCTAAGCCGCCACTTGTTTTTAAAGTTACAGGCTATCCCTCTGAGACAAGTCTACATAATAATTCAGTGGCTGTTAGCAGGGTGGCATTCCACCTCTTGATAGCCTAATGTCTCATTTAAACATACAAACACTGAAATTCTAGGGAAACGAGGGACGTGAACATACTTGTTTTCCACTGTAATCCCTTCCCCCTAATAGCTGCATCAACCGTGGGGGTGGGGGGCAAAGTGAAATATAGCAAAAACAAACTAATTCCCTTTAGCCAGAACTGGAGTGGGGGAGGGAAACAAAATTGAGGGGTTTGGGGTGATTGCTTTGGTTTTCAGCCAACGTTTCAAATTCTGATGAAGAATCTAGGTCAACATTTCCCTTGCCTCGCCTTGCAAATGTGCAAAAGTTTCATCCTGTTTCTGTGTTAATAGCTAAAAGGATGAAATTAAGAAAGTAGAGGGACTGAGGCTGTCCACTAACACGCTGTCAGGAACGTCCCTGGAGGGCCTAGACCAACCCAGCTTTAATGAGGATTAAACAAAAAAAAAGACCAAAACCCCACAAACACTTTTGTGTCCGGGAGGAGTGGGAGCAGGAGCATTGCATGATACATTCAAATTGTAGTGAAAATGGCTCAATAGACGACAGAAGAGCTTTTACAGAAGGTAGAGGTAGCTGCTGCATGCTGCAACAGAAGCATTTTGCTGTCTTAAAAATCTATTCTCCGCATTGGTAGATGGAAACTCCATGTTCTAGCCACGGCAAAGGCAGTGTGATTTTTTTTTCATAATAAAACAGCATAGAAAAACTCAACTCCATGTTCTAGCCACGGCAAAGGCAGTGTGATTTTTTTTTTTCATAATAAAGCAGCATAGAAAAACTCTATTAAAGTCTCCATTTGTCAAGATGTTTAGAACTGGGTAAAACACAGCAGAATATAGTGCAGGAAATAACTGTCCTCTAGTAGGTGGATGGATGTAATGAACTAACTGGGTTTCTTTTTCCATCCTTTAGGGTACGTCTACACTGCAAGGCTATTTCGGGATACCAAAGGTATCCCGAAATAGCTACCCCACATCTTTTGAATGTGTCCACTATGGCGAAATATTGCGGATGCGTTATTTCGGCACCCTGTAAACCTCGTTGCATTAGGGATAAGGGATGTCTCGAAACAGTGTGTTATTTCAAAATTTGGTGCTGTGAGGATACACCAAATTTCTAAATAGCCTATTTTGAAAAAGAATCGAAATAAGATATGTAATTTCCGTGGCACAAATTGTGTATCTTATTTCGAGCTAAGGGTGCAGTGTAGACGCACCCTTTGATTTCTACCATGCGGTTATAGCATAATGTCTATCCCATCCCCTGCCAAGGAAAAAGATCATTTCTCAGGAAGTGGTGTAACCGCCACCGGATGGATTTGAACCTGAAGCTTAGTATAAGCACCTCACCTAACCTGGAGCTTAGTATAAGCACCTCAACTGCTTGAGCTAAAAGCCAACTGGCGTTTCTGTTTTCTGCAGTTCCTCAGCCACAGACTTGACTGCTAACTTGCCATCAATTCCAGATCTCAAGAAATCCTTTTCTCATAGTTCCTATGTAGTTCCAGGATTAGGGCATTAGCACGGATCTCAAGAGAGCCAGGTTCAAGTCCTTGCTTTAGTAGGAGGTTTTTCCATGTGATCTTGAGCAACTCACTTGGCCTCTCTCGTGGCTTGGTTCCTCATCGATAAACGGGATAATAGCAGTGCTCCACTTCACAGAGATGGATATGCGCATCCCATCTCATACTCCATTTTACAGAAAGTACCAAACCCTTTACCTTCTCCAGCATCTGGAGTCTGCTGGATGCTGGATATTCATAGTAGGATCATGACAAGGTCTACAGAGCAAAAAGTGAAAAAAAGTCAGATATTTCTCTCATACATTTCCTGATGATGGCAGCAAAGTAAGGCAAGAACGAGTTTCCAGGTTCATTGAATGTGTGAGAAGAACCTCGCACATTTTCTGATGATAGCGGCCAGGCAAGGCCAGCAAAGAACAGGAAAAGATAAAGCCAGATGATTTTCAAGGCTGACATGAGCAAAGCTCAGGAACATGGAGGAATTCCAGCTGCCGGCAGCACCACACGGAGCCTCCTGGATCCAGAACAGAGTGGGAAGTGTCAAACCAGCTGAGAGCTCCTGACAACCAGAATCTAGAAGAGGGAATGAGTGATGTAGCAGGAGGCAGAACTTCAGGGATGGATCGAGAACGAGCAGTGAGAGGCAACGCCCAAAGCATCCGGGATCCAGACCCTAGAGTGAGGTAGCAATACATAATGCTTTCCAGACCTGAGCTCCAGGAGAAAGGGGAGTCAAAGCAATTATTAGCAAAACTTCACCTCCTTTTCCAGGCCCAAGCTGGGACAACACATCTAATTTCACGTAGCAAAGGGCCAGGCCATGCTACCGTCTGCTGCAGCAAATGCTGCTATTTTCCTTTCTGCAGAACCAGCATGTGAAACGAGAGGCACTGGACTGAATTGACTTTGAAGGCTGCTAACGCTTCTCCCTGCAGCCAGCTCTTCCCAGTACAAACTCTCAGCAGTGAGGAGGGGCTAAGTTAGTCAATTCCAGCCACTCGGCAGGCTGGAGGGAGCCATGCCGTTCCTCAGCCTGCCAAAAAGCTTCACTCTCTCCACGCCATGCAGAAAGGCCCTAATATTTCTGGGGGGGAGGGGGTCTGCCTCCTCGCCCACCTCTGTTGCCTTCCCCTGATCTCTGCTGCTGAAACATCCGAATGTTTAACCAAGACAGGAAAGAAACGGAGACTATATACGGAAGTGTCCGATTTCCCACGTAAATGCATTTTAATTCAAGTGGGAATAACCAAGACAGGAAAGAAACGGAGACTATATAGGGAAGTGTCTGATTTCCCAGGTAAGTGCACTTTAATTCAAGTGGGAGCGTCTGGGTGCATTGGTCACCATTGTGGAGCTTAAGGTGGAGCAAACCAGGGTGTACATAAGAATATAAAATTGTCCAGACTGGGTCAGACCAAAGTTCCCTCTAGGCCAGTGTCCTCTCTGCCGACAGTGGCCAATGCCCGATGCCCCAGAGGAAATGAACAGAACAGGCAATCATCAAGTGATCATACCCCTGTCACCCATTCCCAGCTTCTAACAAAAAGAGTCTAGGGACACCGTCCCTGCCCACCCTAGCTAATGGCCATTGATGGACCTAACCTCCATGGAGTCCTGACCACCATGGACCTCCATGGACCTAACCTCCTGTTAAAGTCCTGACCTTCACAACATCAGAGTGTCTATGTGGACTCAGGTACCATGCACTACATTACCCTAGTGCACATTGGCTTACTCCCATTTCAAAGCAGGCCAATTAAAGTACACCAGGGAGTTCTAGGGCTTGGCAGCTCGGTCCACAGGGACAGATGGAGCATCATATATTAGTGCACGGCAGGTTTTTGAACCTTATTAATGTCCTGGTCTTCACAACATCCTCTGGCAAGGAGTTCCACAGGTTAACTATGCATTGTGTGAAGAAATACTTCCTTTTGTTTGTTTTAAACCTGCTACCTATTATGTTCATGCATTCACAAGAGTGGAAGGTGAAGCCACAGCAGTATTACTTGGGGATATCACACCATTTTGCACTCCACTGGAGGGCTCATCGGTAGGGGAACCTCTGTACTCACCTGGCATGAAGCAGCCTATGGGGAATGGGAAATGTAGCTGTCAGGGGAGTAGTGTGGTGACTCAAAGCCATCAAAACCTCCCCTCTGCCATGGAGCCTCCTATGAGAGCAAAACATCATGGAAACTGACCTGCAAGGCGCTGTGACCAGGGCCAGCAGAAGCGCACTCATTCGACATTTCCAATCCACATTTTCCAGGGTGGAGATGACTTAAAGATCACAGAGCTGCTCTCAGCCAGCATAACCCACAAGGGATTCATACCACGCTGGGTTCACGGAGGAAATTCCCATCAAGTCCCCTTACTCATCCCATTCTGGTGGAGTACTGGAGTTGATGTCCACGTCATCTGTGGTTGAATTAGCAGGTCTCCACTAGACCACCTAAATCGATCCCTTCACTAGACCAACTAAATCAGCCACTGGTGGATCAATTGCTGCAGCTATCCATCCACCCGGTAGTGGAAACAAGACCAAAGTGACTGTGCTCTCTGGCTGGACAGAAGGGCCAGCATTTC